TTTTCTTGCTTTTTTTTTGTTAAATTTCTTGCCGACTTTAGTTTTTCACTTTGTTTGAGGGACTATTCTAGTTCTCTTTGGATGAATTTTTTTTAAAATTTCTACAACAAATTGTCAAGAACTTGTACAGGTGTTGCCCAGTCAGATGCACTAAAATTTAGAAATATAAAAGTTGCTAATACGCCAGACGTACTCACTGAAGCTACCGCAGAAACTACCATAGCACTTCTTCTCGCGACATCAAGACGATTATTGGAAGCCGTTGATGACGCAAAAAGTGGTCGATGGAAAGCATGGGCGCCATTTTACATGTAAATATTTAAAAAACTCAGTTTGTTCTTTTTAATGTTTCTGAAGATTTGTTAACTGGATTAAAGTTTCGCTCGTATAACAATAACTGCTATACTCACAAAGTAATTTCTGCTAGTGAATAAGGGCATGCATCAGGTGTGGAACCGGGTTGTACAATGCAACAGTAGGTATAGTTGGTTTGGGAAGAATTGGGACTTCTGTTGCCGAAAAAATCAAAGCGTTTCTCCCAAAGCGAATCATCTATCACAACAGAAAACCTGATGAAGCCCGTAAGTGCCCTAATTCCCGTCTTACTTTATGCTGAGCAAGTATCTGCAATCAAGTTCAAGTTGTATACATGTTTAGGGCTTATTTTAAAGGATTACGATGAACTTTCTAGGAGCATCAAAAGTAAATGCAGATTACGTTTCGTTGGAAAATCTGCTTAAAGAAGCTGATTTTGTGATTCTTACTTGTTCGGCAAGTAGCGAAAATAAGGGTATGATTTGCAAGGACACACTGTCGATGATGAAGGCTAATGCAATATTAATAAATGTTAGCAGGTAGGACAGTTTTGCACTCTTTCTGAAAGAAGCGCAAACTTGCACCAGAAATTTTTCAGGGGGTCATTGGTAAATCAGAATGACTTATATGACGCTCTTATTAGCGGAAAGATTCGTGCAGCTGGTTTGGATGTCACTACTCCTGAACCGTTGCCGCCAGAGGATCCACTGTTTAAACTTAAAAATTGCGTCATATTTCCACACATTGGTTCTGCAACTACAGAAACTAGAATGAGGATGATTCGGATGATCGAGGATTCCTTGCTGCATGAACTTGGACATATCACCATTGACCATGATTCTTTTTAGACCATGCAAGCTTCAGGAAGCCACATCAAGTTTGTTGTGGCCTTTGGAAGCCTAAGTGTCGTGCGCGATGAATATCATTTCCTTCAAATGAATTGAAGGAGGCACAAAAGACTGCTTACTCTGAAAAATGTTATGAGTTTTTTCTCCAACCACGTGAACGGAGTGGGGCAGTATAGCTTCTGAGATAACGCGGGTCATTACTACATGTACATTTATTGATTTAACATTCTAACAACGGCTTTTAAGGAGGCTGTGGAACTTGGTAAAGTAAGTTCTTTGGTTGGTCGCTTTTGTACTTCTGTTTATTTAATTAAATCGCTGAATTACTAATCCTGATCATCTTCTTCTTGACCACTTTTCTGCTTCCCTAGTTCAGCGGCTCGTCTTATATTTGTTGTTCTTCGAAGATAGGATAGCCGGTTGTCTATCTAAAAATGAGCAATTATTCGAATGATTTCAAATAGTTTTTGGACACTTATGGTGGTTTTCTTTCTATCTTAAAATGGCGAAAATTACGAACTTGTCTAGTGAGTTTTCGATCCCACTGAAGACCAAATTTGGCTGCAGCTTCTGCAAGTTTTTGTTGCCGTACTGAATACGACCAATTCTGGTAAAATGCGACGTCGACGACATCTTTAAAGGCTCTAGAAAACAACCTTTTTGTTAGGAAACCAAGTGAAAAGATTTAGAAGACAAACAGTTTTCTTGGAAACGACATCATACATACTTACGATGGTAATCCAGTTGTTGATCCCAACTCTTTCTCAACGCCGTGACGATGACTTCCTAACTCTTCACAAATAAAATATCCTTCAATTTGCTTGACACGTACCTTGTAGTCACATTTGAACTTCTTCTGGTACAAGCAGTCATACCTTCAAATCATGCAAATAATAAGAGACGTTTTGATTAAGATTAACTGGGGTTACAGAATCCAAAAATTAATTAAACTTTAAAATTGACTCAGACGTCGCATAATTAAAGGATTGCAATGAAAAAACTGTGAAGGGTATTAGGGACGTACAATTCATATCCATCCTGATAATTATTTCTAGTGGCAACGCACAGACTAGCAGTTAACGGTGTTTTCAAGGTTATCGGTCCGTCAAAACAAGTGAACCATCCCTTACTGATACGACTACAATGTAAAAGCACTGTAATTCTGCTGTGCAACTATATGCAATACTTTATCACCAAATTCTCTTACAACATGTACAACAGTACCTGGACGAACTGCGCGAACTTTCTAGCAGTTCCGGGTCCGAGTCGTGCCAGTGACATCCATTATGCTCGCAGTGCACAAAAATTGCATCGGTTTTAATTCTGACACGGTATGGGCAACCGAAAGTATCTTTATCTTGGCATTCATACCTGTGCATAAAAAGCTTGAAAGAATTTCAAAGTCCCTGACGCCGTGTTTAACCTATTTAATGATCATCCATCTACCAAAGAAGACTCATCTGCTTCGAAAGTTTGTTGTCTGAATCTTCTTACATTCAGAGAAATTTAAAGAGGCTTTTATTCATTGCAGTTTTGGTTAAGAAAGTACTTTCAAACAAAAAATTAAAAAAATGAAACTGACATCAAGTAATCCTTATCCGTACTCAGCGTCGCACTGATTCCTAAGGCACTGACTAGCTCTGTGAAAAGATCTTTAGGAGCGGTAATACACCGATACCACTTATCCTCGCGACCACCATCTTTCTGGAGGCTAGCAAGATATTTTGCAGCTGCCCTAAAAACAAACATTTCCGCAAGCTCAACTGTAAATAAACATGTTTATAAGAGCGTCAACTTAACTCGTACAGCCGATAACTGCCTTTTAGTTAACTTTTTCATAGAGATTCCGACTGTGGAACATCAGTACCACCGCCGATGAAATAACAAGTCTTGTGCAAATCACCAAATGATTACCGAGAGAAAGAAAATTTTTTCTATTACGACTGTATCAGCTTTATTTCTGTGGTTCGACTTGCTGCTTACCTAACTGTGGCTTCCTGGACTAAAACTTTTCTTGAGCTACAGCCATTCTCAAACTCCATTTCCAACTAAAACAACAATAGTACCTTTTTTTGAAACTATATTCTTTGGGCGGAGTAGCTGCTGGGTAGGCATTTTTGTTAAGAAGTGGAGATGCCGTAGAAGGAGTAGTAATACTACTGGTCTGTGCTTGAAGATCAGGCATCTTTTCTTGAGTGGCAGTTGTGTTTGATGGTAAATCTTTAGTTTTAACTACTGGCGTTTGAGTACCATCCACTTCCATATCAGATTCTAAAGTTTTATCGAAATCCGGTGCAGTTTTAGCGTTGCCTTCTGTTTGCTCTGCCTCCATATTGACATCGCATTCACTTGGGCTAGCTTCACCACCGGTTATACAAGAATCTGAACGTCCATTGTCTGTTGATGTAGATGTCCCAGGTGAAATATCTTTTGAATTGAATGCTGAATCCATGCCGTTTGTGATAATATCCAATTTTTTTTCATTTGGCTGATATGCCGATATCAGTTTAAGCATTTTTTCATCACCTTGTAATGCGTCTGTTACAGCTAACATCTAAAATTAGTGATGATTATATGGACTTTTTTATTTTCAATTTAGGAACTTAAACCATATTTCTATGCGTACAGCATTGCGGATATAACTTAGCATAGTTATCAATACCAAAGAGTTGTATAACTGCTGTTATAAGAGCAAGTTTATTTTATTAAATCAGTGAAACATGAAATTAATTATTGTTTCCTTGAAATGAAACAACTGTTTCAATTCTCAACTTTACATTGACTCAATATAAACTCTTCAAATTAATGGAATCCATTTGTAGACAAAAACTTTGGCGCAAAACTTCGATGCAGAATCTTCATCAGACCCACTTTTCTCTAATAACTTTTCCCATTGTTATCTTGAAGAGACAGTTCGAAAATAATGTAAATGCCGTAAAAATGTTTTGCTTCATATCACTGCATCAAAAAAACCTTCCATAACACCATCGTTTGTTCAAAGCACTTAAACATTCTTGCAGTTGACATCGGAAACACCAAATGCAGAAACATTTTAAAACTGCTATCTTTTAAAGCAGTCTAGAGAGAGTTCCAGAAATTGATCTGTTCGATCAAAATTATCGAAAAAAATGAAATATGTACAATAGGTTACAAAGTCTGCAGATGTAGAACACAGTAAAGTAGTAAAACAAAATTACCACCACTGATTAAAGCCAATTAAATTGTTCAAGAAAGCAATCCTGAGAAACGAGCGCAAAGAATCAGTAAATTTAACCACATTAAAACTAGACCAAGAAGACCGTTGTTGAATGTAAAGAAGAAGTGGAAAAGAAAAGTTCAATAAATAACAGCAAAATTAAAGATTTACTGAAGAACACACTTCAAAAAAATGAACAGAGTCACAATTGGTGATAATCAAAGGGTTGGTCAGTTGTTGGATAGATAGATGGATGGATGGCTCATAATGTAACACTTCTCACGACCAAAAATATCACACATCACTGAACTTGTCACCCTAATTGCCTCGGTTTACAGTCTGCCGGGAAGAACTGTTGGCTTTAAGATAAAATTCCCCTGTTCTTATATCTGCTTTCTTTTTCTTGCACAACCGACGAAACAGATAACTACTATAGTGTTGTTTACGGGTTGCCGCAGAAGGAAAAGTTTCGTTGGAACTAATTTTAGATCCAGTTAAACGGTATTATAAACAAGCAAATGAAAATAATTATCGCAAAAAAAGGAAAGTATGAAACTTTTAGATTTAATAAAAAGTTTTAAAGAAAAATCTCAAACCATTTCTCACCCATTAACAACGAAGTTTCTAAATCGAGGACAACGAAAAAAAAACAGTTTCAATTCACATATATTCTCCTAGTTACTTTATCTGTGACTGTGTAAATAATTGACGCTAAATTAATTGTGCTGATAAAAAAAAGGCTACTGCCGAATGGAAACAAAAATTATGGATCAACATCTGCTTATGCAATTTTGTTGTAATGAAACTGTAAACCGTAGTTTAAAAATTTGCCTTCAACCCCGAAAGCACAGTAACTTTTAATTTTTGAAATTCCAGAAACTTTAATGTGTTCAGTACAGCAAACAAGTTCCTAAAATTGTCATTTATTAAACTTGTAGAAAGGCAAAACACAAAATTATTTATACCCTTCCATTAAACGACAGCGCTGTTCAGTCTACAGAATCAGTGGTTAATTCTGGCAACTACAGACTGAGGTCAGCTACTACACTGAAACATCAACCTACATACACCAAATCAGTAGTGCTGTTACATCTATTAAACATTTTCGAAAAGAGGTACAGTAAAAAAAAAAAACAAAAAACAAACATTGGCAGTTGTTTTATGATAGTCGTACAAAAATGGAATGAGGAGAAACAAAAAACACGAGAGGATAGTGTCTACTAAACTGAGTAAAACTGGAAGATGATGATTGATTAACCATTCAGTAAATCAAAATAAGTATATATTATGCATAAAATATAAGGTATATATCAAGAGTTGTCTTTTCAGGGGTCAACAGAAGAAGCTGCAGGGAAAATAACTTCATTCAGACGATAAACCATAACGTATATGTTGTCCCATATAAGAAAAAAAAATTCTTTGTCTATCCAAAAAAGATTTTTTTTTTACTGGAAGTTATTGTAAATTTCTCACATTTTTTTTGCATTTTGAAAAGAAAACTAGAGCAAAAAAAATTCTAAACGTAAAATTTTTTTGCGGATATAGTTAATTTTGGCTATTTTTTGTTTTGAAAAAATTGCTGTCTTAAGAGGTTTTTGTTGATATTAGTTAAGAAAAAAAAAAAAAAAAACAGTTGCTTTTTTTTCCTCTATCATTTGCTTAACAAATTTTATCTATGATAATAGCATTAATGCCTAATTTTGCTGTAATGTCAACGGTGATATGTTTTGTTCTATAATTTATGTTTTGCAAATCTGATTACCGGTCTAAGCACAGCAAATATTGTCAATTTGGTCGAGTGAATTTAGCGTCGAAAAATTGTTGCAAGAAAGTTTTTTTATTGATAGCTTTCTCTTCAATTTTAATGATCATAATTTTATTTTGTAAATTTCTAGTTTATTTTATCTAAATTTGCATTGATTTGATAAATCTTATTACTAATGATTAAATCAGGTTTTTCCTTTTTGTTTTAACATAACTGATTTTTTTTCATTTTTTTGTTTTTTGACTAAAGCAGTTTTATTACTGACGATAAAGCTCTTTTTTTCCTTTTTTTTTCTGTAACGTTAAGTATCTGTTAGGATATCCAAAAAGCCCCAGGACTGGTTCAATAAAGTCAAAATTGCAGCAGAACTAAGAGGTTGTTTTATGTGGCTGTTATAGTAGATGAGATATTGACGGGAAGGTTCGATGATCAAAGGTGTTTCAGTAAAGGTCAGCATCGACGGCAAATAGATGTTTAAAATTTAAGCTACTATCGCGCATTATGAATTGTCGTTTAAGTAGTAAGTCTGAACTAAGACATTGTAAGGCTATATTTTTTAGCCAGCAACCTTACTAAATTTCTGTAGATTTATGGTTTGAATTCAGCTAATTATTGTCGTTTAAAGTTACTGTTGACGGAACACTTCAAAAGAGTTCAGACTTCTGACTTGCAAAGTTTTTTTTCTGTTTACTTCAACTGCTTTTCATTTGTAATTTTATTAGAACTTATTAGTACAAATGAAGTAGTAAGTTATGTTGAAATTTCAATTCATACAATAATGTTTTCTCAAACATCATCTGTTTCAAATATAAAATTTTTCTTCCATAAAATTGAAGACCAAAATGATGCTATTACACAACAGCAGTCATAAAAGAAGGAACATATAACAAACTGTGTTTGGTAGAACAGCTTTTGAAAAACATTTTACTGTTTAAACATGTCAAATAATTTATTGTTGCGGAACACTGTTACTGCAGTTTTGAAGTGTTACTTTTCGACTGAAACCGTCATTAAAAATTTTAATGCAGAAGTATTTGATTTGAAATGACGAAATGACAAGAAATAAATGTTTTGATTTTGTAAAAAGAAATTTTCCCTTTATTTTCTTCTTTTTTTAATGAAAATTTGTCGCCAGTAGTTAGAAAAATTTAAGGAAATTTCACTTTATAATAGGTATACTAATTTGCAGACACCTATCTACCAAACATAGTTTAACAACAAACTTTTTTAGCTTTCAAATTATTTTTATAAAATTTAAAGCATAACTAAAAGTTATTACACATTCTAAATATGATGTTTTCAGTCTTATATCAGTAATCAGAGGGAAGTGGAAGAAATAGCATTAAAAGATGGTGGTGCGTTCTCATTCTGTACTGTTGTTGATTTCAAAATCTCAGCACTCATGCACCACTATACGGTAATTATTCATGGAACATACAGTTTTCAACCTTACAGATTCCGATACATAATTTCACCTGTTGCAAACCAAAATGCATCTTTTTCCAGTCTTTTTTTCAACCAACAACTCTTTCAACACTTTTCAACAGGTCTATCAGATAATATTCTGTGTTTCTTGTTTTACAAGTACGTTGCAAAACTAAATTCTAGTGTACGTCAAAGAAACAAATAACAGTGGAGCAGAAACGTCCGGCTTGACGCTGTGTTCAGGTATATTTGTTTTTCGCACATCTGCATAATATAAGCAACTACCAATATTTGGCCTTTTTTTTCCCCTTTAAACAGGTCTGGTCTCTGATCAACAATTTACCACGCCAGTCGCATAAAAACCAAAGCTTTAATTATGGGTCAACATTGTTGCTGCAACAATTATCAGGTTTAAAATGTTGCATTCAAAGGTGCCTTTTTCTTTTTTTTTTTTTTTT